CCCTTGTTAATGGGTGACACAATCTAGTAACAGCCGTGTTCCAAGCTCACTTGGCTGGAGACGGTCAACAGCAAACATGCTGAACTGCTTCTCCACTTTGAGAGGCCACAGCCTCAGGACCCCAGGTAGAGAAAGTATCTGTGAAAGATTAAGAAGATGGCTGACTCCATCCAGATGCTGCAGGCCACACTGCAGCTGCTGCACAACTGTCACAGACACCCCAGGGATGGTCTCCCCGGGAGTGACCACCAGTGACCTACCAAAATCAAGGTACTCCAGTGAAGTCTCCCTAAGCCCAAATACCAATGGCACAGAAACTGGGAAGAGCATGGGGCAAGTATCACCAGGCCCAGAAACACTCAGTAGCTTTGGGAAGGCCTCCCCAGAGCTGTCCACAGAAAATCTAGAGTCAAAGTCCAGTGGGGGAGACTGAAGTCACAGTCACAGGCCCCCGAGAGACACTGAGAAGCCTGGTGTACAACCATCCAGGCCTGGCCACCACTATTGGAAACAACTTCACAAAGAGCCTTACAGAATTCCGTCCAGTGTGGTCCCTGCAGGCAGTCAGGCCACTCTCATTCTCTGAGCCATGCCTGCCTGTTTCCCTGGGCAGCCAACCCATCTATAGTCCCTTCTTCCCAGGCACCTCCTCCACCCACACCTCTACCTGATCAGCCCTGATTTTGGGGAGAGACATCATGACAAGGTCTCTTGAGAATTCCACCCACTTTGAGGGCCTGTGTGATAAAGATCGAGATGTGCGAGATGTGCGGTGTTTGGGCAATAAACAGCTTTTTACCACACACTGGGTAGAGGAGGAAGGAGACCTATATACTGTGTCACCTCAGTTGGAGTTAGAAGAGGCCATTAGGCTTTCCGAGCTAAAGAAAGATTCTGAGCTCTTAATTCATTCATCACTTTGTACAGCAGAACATCCTAAAGTACCTTGTCCAGAAGAAGAGAAATCCATCCACCACAGAGCTGCAGGCTGCTGGAGAAAGCTGTATTATGTGAATGGCCACACTTTTCAGGCCAAATGCTTCAGCAGGTGAGCTTGCTGTGCTGTCTGCACAGACCGTGTAGGAGGACTTGGCCGCCAGGTGTATAAGTGCACCAACTGTAAACTCTCGGTTCATAAGAAGTGCCACAAACTTGTCACAATTGAATGTGGGCAGCGTTCTTTACTATCAGAGCCCATGATGTCAGTCAATCCATCATCCATGGCCTCAGACCCAGCACACACAGCTATCCCACATAACCTTTCAACTCATGAGGCTTTAGAACAAGTTGATGAAGAAGAGAATGAGGCAGGGAACACCGGGGAAAGTGCCAAAGCTTCATCTGGTTTAGATCTTGAGGACTTTGATTTGCTCTGAGTGATTGGCAGAGGAAGTTATGGGAAAGTACTGTTAGTCCAACTGAAAAAATCAAATCATATGTATGCAATGAAAGCAGTGAAAAAAGAGCATGTCAACACTGATCGGATACAGAGAGAGAAGCGCATTCTACAGCAGGCAGCCAATTGTCCTTTTCTAGTTGCACTGCACGCTTGCTTCCAGACAGAAAGCAGACTGTTCCTTGTTCTAGACTATGTCAGTGAGGGAGATCTACTGTTTCATGTGCAGCAACAAAGACAGCTTCCTGAAGAACATGCCAGGTGTAACTCTGCAGAAATCAGTTTAGCAATCAACTATCTTCATCAGCAAGGAATACTTTATAGAAATTTAAAATTGGAAAATGTATTACTGGACTCAGAAGGGCACATTAAACTCATTGATTATTGCTTGTGTAAGGAAGGCTTACAGCCAGGAGACACAACCAGCACTTTCTGTGGCACTCCTAATTTCGTGGCTCCAGAACTTATAAGAGGGGAAGATTACAGTTTCAGTGTGGACTGGTGGAATCTTGGAGTACTGATATATATGATGATGATTGGAGAGTCTCCATTCCATCTTGATGAGAGCTCTGATAACCCTTATGAAAACTCAATCAAGTACGTCTTGCAAGTAATTTTGGAAAAAGACATTGTCGTACCTCATTTTCTGTCTGTACAAGCTGCAAGTGTACTAAAGAGTTTTCTAGACAAGGACCCAAAAGAACGATTGGGTTGTCATTCTCACAGGGGCTTTGCTGATGTTCAGGAGCATCCATTCTTTCAAAATGTGGACTGGGACATGATGGAGCAAAAGGAGGTGGTGCCTCCCTTTAAACCAAATATCTCTGAGGGATTCGGTTTGGACAACTTTGATCCTGAATTTACTAATGAACCTGTTCAGCTCACTCCAGATGATAATGACATCGTGAGGGAGTTTGATGGATATGTATTTGCAGGTTTTGAGTATATCAACTGTCTTATGATGTGTGAAGAAGAAGGGGTCTGATCCCCATTTTTCAACTATGCATTTTGCTTATGTTTCCATTTAATGCTTGGAAAACCTTGTTACCAGCCTAGATAGAATTAACCATTTCAGAGATGTCTGGAAGCTAATTTTAATTTATTGTTTTGAAGTTATATTTAGATGTAATACTTGATTCTTATAGTCTATAGTAGAGAATATGGAATTTTTTGTTCGTAGATTAGATTTTTATGAACTGATTTAAATAACAATGAGGCAATCGCTTGTTAACCACACTTGTATATACACATTCCATTTGTTGAGTGGGACATAATGCCTAATATTTTTTCTTTTTACTTATGATACAAGAAAACAATTTGTCTTTTCAGTAAAATATCTTACCTATGCTAGTTCCTTTCCAACCACACTTTTGAAACTGACCACCTTTTGGGGTCAGTTTATGTAGTCTTCAGGAAAATCCAAAAAATAGCAACAATTGTGAATAAACACATGTACTTTTATCTTTTTTATATGAAGAAGATACAATATATGACTGCAGGCTTTGGAGGGGTAATGGTTCTCATGAAGTGGGGCATCTAAAAGGGATTAAGGGATGATTTATTAAATGTTCACAGGTTTTGCATTGTTCTATGGTTGAAACTAGATCATTGGCTAAAATTAAATTAAACTAAGATTGTACCATTATAACTTATTTACATTTAGATGATGATGGTTACCTTTCAAATCTTTGGCATAAAAATGATACTAAAACAGAAGGATAATATATAGCATCTTAATTTTAGTTAATGGTCTGGTTTTGAATTCAGAATGATTTGGAGTTTGTGAACATTTAAGAAATTATCTTTTGCCTATTTTCAGATGCCCCATTTCATGAGAGATATTACTTTTCCAAGGCTTGTACTCGTGTATTGTCCTTCATATAATTTAGTTTGAAACTAATGAAAACATCAAAGGAAAATGTTTACAGACATTCACAAGTTCATTTCCCAGGCATGTATGTTTCTCTTAATGCCTGGAACTTGTTTTAAAACAAAAAGCAGTATTCACAACATAAACTTATAGAGAATACTAACATGTCAGAAATATGTTTAGGATCTCGCTTTTAAGTGTTGTCCTTTCCCGTAGGGCATTTCAGAGTGTAGAATAATCACCCAGGGTGTTTGTTTACCATGTTTATAACGGACCCCACATTTGAATTCTTTTAGGCTTCTGAACCCCATTTTGAGAAACACTTTCTTCAAGACATTCTTTTGTCCTCCAGTTAAATAGTAGAGATTGTGTCCATGGTATAATATTTTAAGATGTTACAAGCAGAAATTTACAACTTTATGAACATTTTTGAACAAATTTTACATGAATGACTTCATTAGATACCTTCCTTGTTCCCCTCAACAAAATCTTATCAGTTTTCTGCCAATGATCTCCAAATGATGAGCATTTTTCTTTGTTGAGATTTTCACTATTATTCAGGGTAGTCTTTTGCTTTTCAATTTTTTAAGTAATAAGATGAACTGTATATTTTATAGAGAACTGCATTACAAATATGTTTTCAACTATTTTTGTAGTATTTAAGTATTATGTCAGTTCTTTTAATACCATATAGAAATTGTCTCAAAACACTCTTTAGGGGAATAAGTCAGTTTATAGTCAGAATGGTTGACATTCTGGTGTTCTAAAAAAATTTAGTTTGCATAATCCTGTAGTTGGATCATTTTATGCATATGTAGCTTGGGGTAAATTTCAAGTACTGTGTTCAGCACTGGTATATTTACTGTATAAATTTGTTTTGTTTTTATTTTTGTCATGTAGAACACTGACTTGGTTATCATAATGTAATCTGTGTTGTGTTCTTCTTTTTTCATGTTTACAGCCTTTAAATAAAACATTTAATATAAATTCAAAATAAAAAAAAAACAAAAAAACACAAATCCTTAACTTATATTTTGACCTTAACAAATAGCATGTACATAAATTTGGAAACTTTTGATCATTATAAGGTCCATGTACGAAATTTTGATGTAATGTAATTATCATTACATTAAAAAACAGTAATGTGTTGGTCCAAAAAAAAAAAGAATTTAAGGGATATTAATGGCCAACCATTTCAATCTCTTCATTTTAAAGACTAAGGTCCAAGAGGTTACACAATTTCCCCAAGGTCACACAGTTACTTTGTAAAACTGGACTAATTTTATAAACATAAAATTATTTTATATAATTCTAAAGACATATGAAAATGATAACTCAGTTTTTTACTATTCTGCTACTCAAGGATCCTTTATTTTCCAGCTTTTCCTCATATTATCTTTAAATTAAAACAATCAACACTGGGCCGGGTATTTAGCTCAGTGGTGCCACCACCTGCCTCACAAGCACAAAGTCCCAAGTTCTATCCCCAGTACCAAAAAAAAAAAAAAAATCAACACTGTGTAGGAAAGGTATTTATTAACAAAGCTATGACACACATAGCAGAACCATGTGAAATAACAAACCCAAGAACTTGAAATTGGTTTAATGACCTAAGAGAAATACATTGGTGAGTTAATAGCTGTAATAACTTTAGATGTTGGTTTTTCAATATTGCTTGTCAATCTGGAGTAATGATAACACATACTCCTCAAGTCAATATCAACAGTAATTTACCTTTGCCTTGATATTCAGATAGTTCTTCTTGAACTTTCCCATAGAGTTCATGTTGATTCCCCTGCTCCATTATAGGCAATTCAGACATGTTCAAATATTCTGACCTTAAAAAAAAATATTCTGACCTTTATAAAGATTTTTAAAAAATAAAAATGTTAATGAAAATACAAAAATGAATTTGGACTACTTATTCACATAAATGAAAAGAATATGGTCTATCCACTCAGCATTTCTATGATAAACTGTACCTAGCCTGGGTAGCAAAGGGCAAAAACCCTTCAATAGAAGGGTTTAATGGAAGAGACCAAAGTTCATCAATGGTATCTGCTATCAGTACACAATCTTAAAAAAATCTATTGTTAAGGCTGCTTGGGGTCAGCTGAGATCTCGAGAAGTAGTACTGGGATTTAGGATTCTAATTCCAGTACTATCAGTTCCTGTGCTGTACTAGGTGTTAAACTGAATGTCATCTCTGCATATAGAATGTCCTTCTCTGGATGGGGAAGTGTACATACTATTGTCTTCTAGGCATCATGATATAGGAAAAGAACATCAAATTACCGCATAAGGCTTCTGGTTACCATATGGGAATATGAAGTTCAATTTTTTCACCAATAAAATGAAATAAAAATACTTTATTTTATGAGCCAGGTTGTTGTATGGTCAAAAGAGATAATGCCCAAAAGTGTAATTCTGAAATAGTTTATAAGCTTGAGATATGATTAGTATGAACTGAGTCCTTGAATAGAAAAATAGACTTTCTATACCAATATGGTTTTCTTTTTATTACTTATTTATTGTTTGTTTGTTTGTTTTTGAGCTAGGGTTCCACTCTGTAGTTCAGGCTGGTGAACTCACTATGTAACCCAGGCTGGCTTTGAGCACCTGGTAATTCTCCTGCCTCAGACTCCCAAGTGCTGGGATTACAGGCATGTACCATGATGCCCAGTACTATGTTCTTTTTAAAAACATAGTAAATTCCTGTGACTTATTTTAGAAGGCATAGAACCTGAGGGGATGGGTAGGATGGGTAGTGTCCTAGGATGAACATTAGTATTCTGTAATTGTAAAGTTCTAAATACATTTAGGGGATGAAAGAATAAAGCCCTTACAATATTGTTGTTTCATTATGGAACTAAACGATTAGTGTGGTTTACTGTGAGTAGCTAGTAATCACCTTTCCCTGAATAAATGGCTATGTGGAGGCATACTGAGCTTAAGATGAATATTTTGTCTTTGATATTAACATTATATTTTTACCTTGATATACTGGGAAGGGAAGGCTTTGAAGTAAAACCAAACTCTTTAAGGTCCACACTTTGAGATTTATTCATCTGTATCTATTAATAAAAAAAATACAAAGTCAACTATCAGTTTCACATGAAGAACTTTAACAAATAAGCCAAACAGCAAAATTCCTGTTGAAACATAAAGCCCAGAAATCAATGAAACTCAGCCTAGTTCTCAACTCATATCTCTTTCTCAGATCCTTCTTAAATTTTTACAATCTTCATGGTTCTTTATTAGGACTTCTCTTTTTATTCTGTATGTTCTCAATCAAAGATACTCCTATGGCTTCAATTATTGTTTTCATGTGAATTACTCTCATATCCATATTTCTAGCTCGGTTCTCTGTCCTAATTTTCAGTTATATCCAACTGTATGTATGGCATCTTTAGGCAGAGCTATCTCACAGGCCTCTGTAGCAGACATCTCTGCCCAGTATTAGCAGACTCACTGCAACCCAGTCTCAGCATCCTTCGATCACTCCAAGCAAGGTAAGCAGTGCCTTCCCCCTTTACATCCCTACCTGCATACCAGCTATCCCTGCCTGCGTATCAGATATTCCTGCCTGCATATCAGCTATCACCAGACGCTTCCAGCCAGGTGCTTTTGGATGCTTCACACTGTGTTGCTAGATGTCTTCAAAGCATGCCCGTCTCACTTTCCCACAGTTATAGTCAATAAAATACTGGCTGCCCTTGGCACCCTTTGTCTTTGCTGCCCAGAGCACCACTGATCAGCCCCAAGACCCAGTTCTCTCTAAATCTCTAAGTTTCTTTCTTTACCCTTATCAGTTTGTGTTGTAGTGCCTCATAGGAGACTGTAGACCCACTGCAGAGGTCTACAGAAATGTCCTCATTCCTGTTCCCTATAGGCCTCTATTTGGTATTTCCCAAATTGAATTTATTCTGTCTCTAATTTGCTTTCCCTTTAATGTTCTTACCCTAGAGAGGCCCAACTTTTCTCCCAGTTGCTCATGTCAGAAAGCTGGGCATCATTTTTGACTAGTCCTTCTTTCTATCTCACTCCTCATAATCAATGAAGTACTGAGGTAGTTGAACCTTCATTTGAAATTGTTTTTTTAGCCTAGTCACTTCTCTCCATTGCTTCTACTACTACCTTAGATGAGGTCATCATTTTGCTTGAATTACTGCACAAACAACCTAATGAGCTCACGTGTTCCTATAATATTTATCTTCTAATCTGTTCTCTACATTGCAGCCAGAGTGATCTTTATAAAATGCAATTCTGATCATGTCACTGATTAAAGCCCATCAGTGATTTTCCAATACTTTGGAGGATAAAATATAAATTACTAAAATAGCAAAAAGGCCTACATGATCTAGCTCCTACTTAGCTCTTCATGCTCATGTCTCTCTCCTCCTCTACTTGTAACTGAGTTCTAGACACACTGTCTTACTGCAGCTCCTTTAAAGATCTTTTCTATTTCCCTAGACCTTTGCATACCTTTCTATCCCTTACCACCATCATTCTCATGCCCCACTCCTCCATACTTGGCTTATCCTTGGGTCTCAGTTACATCTACGAAGAATCCTTTTCAAGCTTATCAAATATAGACTGAGCCTACTTTCTATCTAAACTGAAGTATCTTACACTTCTGTCACAGAATTACTCATCACACTACCCTGAAAAGGCCTGTTTACCTATTGGTATCTTCCTTCATTCAACTATAAATTCTGTGAGGACTGGGAATAAAACTTTTATTTTATTACTATATCTTAGTATATTCTTGATGCTCAGAGAATATGGAAGGAAAGAAGGAAAAATATGGAGGAAAAAAGGAAGGAACAAAGGGAGGGAGGGAAGGAAGGAAAACTACGTTCACAAAAACTTAGTCTCTCAGAGAAGGTGGTGATCATTTCACATTTCTTGCCTCTCCCTATTTTCCAACATTCCTTTTTTTTATGTCTCAGAATATTTATTCTTATAAAAGTCCTAGAAAAGAACTTTACTAGGATATGATGTCCTAGTGTTTAGTCTGCTAGTGGCTAGCCTATTAAATAGTAGAAACTCATTTCTTAATCTCTTGGAAGGAACAGTTTTGCTCAATAATAAACTAGGTGCAAAAATCCAAATCAACTTCAGACTTTGCATCACTGTTCATCACATATAGAACCCAGAAAGGACAAGAACATCTAATTTCAACTTTTGAGGAACCATGACAAGATTATATTCTTCTTATCCTTTTCTGCCTAAAACAAAAAAAGCTAATGAGATAAGAGCCGTATAAGTATGTTCTAAAAAGTAGTAGACTTGAGTTTATAAATAATGTTCATATTCCTAGTCAAGCCCACAAGTAAATGAAAATTACTTGGATACCTACCTTATTGATACACAGAACAAATTATATTTATATTCATTTAATTGTAGAACAAAGGAATGCTATTAAAACTAACCTTGAGACGTTTAACTGGAGGAAGAGATGAAACAGCATTCCTGTTTCTTAAATCAGATAAATATGAAGAAATTGTCTCTTTAATTTCTGACTTCTGCGCAATTCCAGTTTTACCTATGAAAAAAAATCTTAGATTTCTAAAAATTAAATTTTAGCTATTTTTCATATAAAGCCAAATTTTTTCAAAATTTTGAATCTATTATTTACTTTTTTCATGTTGCCCATAAAAGATGCACCTTGAGATCATAATTAAGTGTAATAAATACAACAGAAAATATGAGTTACAGATAATGAGGATGCTACTACACCTCATCAAAGGTCTCTCACTTTTTAATGCCTGAAATAAACTTGTTTTATGGAACTCACAGCAATCATGTCCACATCTATGTTTATTTTTACAACGATGATTGCATTCTCTGTTCCCAGGTTTTTTGCATGCAGTTATTCCTAAATTAATATAAGAAAAAGAAAGTTATTTTATTATGTATTACTATGAACTTAATATAATTAATTCTATCTCTTTTCTCTCAGATGGTACAAAAGGATTTTTATTTTCACATTTTCTCAAACGTTAACCTATGCAATTAAAATCATATTTCTAATAACATTTAGACCTTGCTCCACTATTAACCCCATCCCCAGCTTTTCATAAGTAACATCTGGCCACCTAAAGCTTCTCTCAACCTTCCTGGAATAAACAGAGCCAAATATGACAGAATATCTGTAACACATTTTGTCTTTAACAAAGGGAGAATATTTTAGGTATGGATAAAATAATTATTATAAACCTCTGGAAGCAGAAAGTGGACACATCTAAATCAGTGTTCCCAACTGAACATAAACAACTTTGAGAGACTCAGATAAGGCCATTCTGTGATCGCAGTAGAAGACAAAGATAAGGTGACCATGTAATTATTTCTAAAACTAGACATGAACACTCAAGAAATACAAAAATAATGAAACATCCCCCCCTTCTGGCTAACATAGATGACTACTATTTTTTAAATCCACCTCCAAGATAAAAAGTATCAAAGTAATGCTTTCTGAGTATCCAATCCAGAACTGACCTATGCTTTCCCTAAACTCTTCCAAGAATTACCAAACACAAGATGAAATCTTATAACGAGCTCCTCCAAAATCCCTGAAATGATCTGCAGTTCTTCTGGTGATGTGCTCTCATTAAATGAACCTAACATTCCTCAAAGACAGGTGGTTTTTGGACGAAAGCCTCTTTAATATTATACTTTGTAAGAAGTGCCATGATTTACTGGTTAAGAAGTTGTGCCCCAATTCATGCTCTCATTGCCCCTCACTTATATTTTAACTGGTTTCTTTAAACCCAGTCCTCCATGCTTCAAATTATTTTATATATTTTTGTTTAATTAATCTTCCCTAAATTCAACTCTGATGAGATCATTTGCCCACTGAGAAATGTTAACTACTCCTTACTGCCAACAAAGTCAGTTCTATATTCAAGGTCCTGTACAATTTAGTACAGTTGCCCTTTCTAGCACCCATAATAAACCTACCCCCATCAAAACACATTCAATTGCCATTCTTCAAATAATTTTACTCATATCCTTTCTGTAACTGCACCTTTTGTACTATCTTTTCTTATAAATCTCTTACTTCCTTGACTATCAGAAGTCTATCAACTTTTAAAGTAACTCAGATGTCAGCTCTATTATAGGGGTCTGTTGTGATCACTTCATCCAAAGTTATTTATCTCTACTTTGGGCTCCTATAGCTTTTTCTTTGTGCCCTCATTGTATGCTGCATATATTTAATATATTTATAGGAAAAAATACAATGGTGAGGTACAGGACACACTAGATTTTAAAAAATGAGTTCTAATACGGGGTCTTCTCTGAAAAATAAAACAAGGATTAAAAAGAATATCTGTTCTATTTAATTCAAATGAAAAGATAAAATGAAATTAAGCATATAAAAGTATTTTGAAATTAAGTGGTATGCTAATAGGGGTGCCCCTCTCTGCAGGTCAGCCAAGCAGCATGAAGCTCCTTGGCTGTGTTCCGGTTCCTGCCCATGGAACAGTGAGGTCCCCAGAGCGGCTTGGAGCCCCACCTTCAGTGCTCTGCTTAACTGCGTGGGCACCTGTAAGGCCCAATTC